CCAGAATTGCTCTGCAATTTGCCAAGTAACCCGGTAACAAATGACAAGTCAGGGCGCATACATACTTGAGCATATTGCAAGCTTCCAACAACTGAAGCACATGGAACCGTTTTTCATTTGATCGATCTCATATTGGTTCCTGGGGCATTTAAAATCCCCATATCTGTCGCCCTTGACTATAGGAGCAGGTGAGGGACTATATTTGTGTATATAGAATTTCTTTAAGATCTTTTCGATGTATGCCTTTTGTGACAGTCCTAATACCCCTTTACTTCTATCTCGGTGAATCTCGATCCCTAGAACGAACGAAGGTTCACCAAGATCTTTCATATCAAATTTTGAGGACAAAACTTCTTTGTCTCCAGTAGTAGACTGACATCACTACTAGCAAGTAAGATATCATCCATATACAGGACAAGGAAGATAAACTTTCCATTCTTAAACTTTGTATAGACACAATTGTCCTCTATATTTTCTTTAAAACCTAAAATTCTTTATTGTCTGATCAAACTTCAAGTACCACTGTCTTGAAGCTTATTTTAATCCATAAATGAATTTCTTTAGACGACATCTCATTCGTTCTTTTCCTTCCATGACAAAACCTTTCGGTTGTGCCATGTAAACATTTTCCTCCAAGTCCTCGTTGAGAAATGTCGTCTTTACATCCATCTGATGTAACTCTAAATCGTAATGTGCCACTAATGTCATTATGATTCTGAAGGAATCCTTACATGAGACTAGAGAAAAGGTCTCATTGTAATCAATCCCTTCTCTTTGCGTAAAGCCTTTTGCCACAAGTCTCGCTTTATATCTCTCTATATTTCCTTGAGAGTCAAGTTTTGTTTTGTAGACCCATTTATAGCCTACTGTTTTGGCTCTTTTAGGAATTATCTCTAAATCCCAAATTTTATTGGCATTAATAGATTTCATTTCATCTTCCATGGCCTCAAGCCACTTTGATGAATGATCACTTTTCGTGACTTCTTCAAATGAGGTGGGATCATACTGCATTTGAAATTCCTCAGTGTTGTACACTTCATAATCAGCAAAAATAGCTAATTTTCTAACTCTTTGAGACCTTCTAAGGACCTTCACATTTGGCACATGTTCTATTTGAGGCTGTTGTTGCTCCCCCTCATGTGTGGCAATAGGTTCTATAGGATGCTGAAGAACATATTCCTCATCGTCATTCATTGTTGCCACAGGTGGGATAACAACAGGTGCTGGCACCATAGTGTCTTGCACTGTCGGTGCAGCGACAGCAGGTAGTGAGAAAAATAGCTCATGAATCATTAGAGTGGGCGCATACACCCGCTTCACTTCAAGGTTAATTTCTCGAACTACCATGCTCCTCCTCATCAATTCATCCTCTAGGAAGACAGCGTGTCTCGTTTCCACAAACTTTGTATGTCTCTCTGGACAGTAGAAAACAAAAATCTTTTGACTTTTCTGGGTAGCCAAACAAATGGCAACTTACTATTTTGGGATCTAACTTTCCAATGTTTGGGTTAAAATACTTTAGCCTCAGCAGGGCTCCCCCACACACACGTAAGTGGTTTAGTGAGGGTACTCTTTCTGTCCACAACTCATACGGTGTTTTGGGCACCGACTTTCTTGATACTCTATTGAGAATATGAATGGCGGTTTTAACGCCTCCATCCACAGGCTCAATTGTAAGGTGGAGTAACTTATCATATTGCCCACCATATCCATCAGGGTACGATTGATTCTTTTAGCTACTCTATTCTGCTGAGGTTCGCCCGGTGTAGAATATTGGGCTACTATGTCATTCTTTTAGGGTATGCCATTCTTTGATTGGATAAATGTAGCCATAATGGGAGTAATCATTTGTGAATGTTATGAATGAATCATAACCATCCACACTCTTTACAGAAAAATGACCACAGATGTCTGTGTGAATAATCTATAAAATTCCTGCGCTTTGTTCTTTCTTTATTTTCTTTACATACTTTTCTTTTATGCATTCTCTGCATTGTTCTAAATCTGAGAGCTCTAATGGAGGAAGAATACCATTCTTAACTTGTCTTTCTATTCTCTCCCTCGAAATATGGCCTAAACGATAGTGCCATAATTTCGACGACGCATCGTGAGCTCTCTTATGCCACTATTTCCAGATTAACACTCTGTGACCAGCTGCTTTATCAGCTAGGTAGCATATGTCTTTGAAGAGCCAGTGAACTGACTCTTTATTCTATCGAGGTATTCGGTGACCGTGTCACACTCTGGGATTGAGCCCACAATTACAGGCTCAATCGTGTTCTTTACCACAGCCAAACATTTTATGTTGGCAGTGACCCACTTCCTATGCTTAAAGTCATAGGACATCTTTTGGGATTCAAAATCCCTTTCTTTAGTTGCCTAATCGGCATCATTCTCTTTTATCTCCCTCACCGGTACCACATACTTAGTGGGACACGGTGAGGTGACTATCTAGTCCACCTCAGCTAAGATGAAAACTAGGTCAAACATTTTCTTAACATAAAAATAACACCATTTGCATGCCTTGATTTCAACGTTGGTCAAAATCAAAACATACAACTGTTCGTATACACTAATTCTACATCACCGTTGGGCAGAAATAGAATTAATGTATAAAATCATTAAAATTCACAATTATTCTTACACACTAATTCTACATCACCGTTGGACAGAAATAGAATTAATGCATAAATCATTAAAATTTACAACTGTTCTTACACACTAATTTTACATCACCGTTGGACAGAAATAGAATTAATGCATAAATCATTAAAATTTACAACTGTTCTTATACACTAATTCTACATCACCGTTGGGCAGAAATAGAATTAATGCATAAAATCATTACGATATTGTTATTAACAACGTTGGTCAGAAATAACAACATCATAATCATGTCAAAGTCTCTTTTTCTCCAATTAAATATCACATTGGTTCAAATAACTGAAGAATAAACAATTTCTTTAGCAGCGGAAAAACTCTCTTTTTCTCATTTCTTGAATTTTACCCACAGGGAAAAATTACCTTTTCTATTTTCTTTAAGCTATTAATCAATTTCCAGGAAATAAGCATTTACTGGAAAAAGAAAAACGACAAATTGATTCATTTGATCACTGTGCATTCATTGACCCGCAAACGGCCCGGCCCATCATCTCTCTAGCTGTTGTTGCCTTACCAGCCGCATAGCGTGGGCTGGGCGGCTAAGCGCCATGTGGCGCGCTTCGCCCACCTAGGCCGTGATGCGGCCCGTGCGATCTGCGCCGTTGAATTCAATCGGACGGCCGAGCGGTCGTTTCGGCCGGTCAAAACCAGCGCCGCATCGGCTCCCCGTAACCGTAACGTCATTCGCCCCTTTGCTCTCTCTCTCTCTCTCTCTCTTCGCCGCTCTCTCTTCTCTCCTCGAGAAAGAATGAGGTAGCAAATGACGAAAGCGGACGCAATGAACAGCGAGCAACCAATCAACCCGCGCGCCGGCCCCTCGCCGTGTAGCGTGCGTCTCTAACGGTGAGCACGCCGCCGCCCGTCAGCAACTTTGGCATGGCGCCCTTAGCCGAGCCCGTGAGCGGTTGCCCCGGCTCGGCCCTTCTTCTCCCGCGCCGGCGAAGGTTCATCCTAACGCACGGCGAGGTAGGTCTGTTCCCCCTTTCCCTTCTCCAATTTGGTTTTCTTTTCTCTTATCCGAACCGGTGATAGGGATTAGGGTTTGGACTGTTCTTCTTCTTTCTTTCTTTGGTTTTCTTCTCTAGTTCTCTTTTGGTGCTCGAATTGAACCGATTTGGGATGGGGATTCGTTCTAGGGTTAGGGTTTCGCTTTTCTTTCGATTTCTTTTCTTTTCGGAGTTCATCCGAATCGAGATCTAGGGTTAGGGTTTCGCTTTTCTTTTGATTTCTTTTCTTTTCTATTTATACCGAATCATTCTCTTCCCTTCCTCGTCACGAGTTAGTATTAGGGTTCTTTTCTCTGTTCCTTTCTCTTTTCTCCTTCTTTTCTTTTGGATCTTTTCTGGATTTTCTTCTCTATTCTTTGCCGGTTAAAATGGGGATTCGTTCTAGGGTTAACTGTTCTTCTTCCCCGAGACTGATTCGCGGGTCAGGGTTAGGGTTCTTGATATCCTTTCCCCTTTCTCTTCTATATGTTTCACCCGATTAGGGTTAGGGTTAGGATAACCCTCTTTCTTCTCAGATCTGAACGGGGTCATTTCTTTTCTTGCCGTGCGCCGACGAAGACGGCGGTGCGGCACCTTTCCCCACTTGCGCGGTGGCAGTGGTGACCGACAATCAATGACGTCCGCCACCCCCGGTCTCTTTTCAGTTTCTTTTACCCGGTTAGGGTTAGAGTTTCAATCAGAAACGGATTTAACCCATGTTCTTTCTTTTCTATGCTCTATCCGATACCGTCCCTTGCTTTGATACCATTGTTAGAATTCACAGTGGACCTGTAGACCATAGATCGGGGTAGAGCTTCTACTAGATAGGGAAGAACAGTTGGTATACCTTCGTATGGGTCACCCTTTTGGTACATGGCCACCGATGTCGTGGTGGCGATGCCATGGATGTCCAGTGGCGACGGTGGAGACCGTGGTGACCCTGCAGAGGAAACGGCGGTGTGGTGGATGGGCTTCCCGTCGCTAGCCGCACTACTTTGATCAGTTTAGGTTTACTATGGGTGGGATGGCGACGGCTCCGTTTAACCTCGTAGCACGAGCTCTGATCCCCACCTTACCTTTAATATGTGCTGTGCGACAGAGGCCCACCAACCGTATTAGGGTTGGGCTTCCCCGACCAGGGAGATAAAGGCCCACCCCTGTTGGCGGAGATCAATAGGGCAGTACAGGTGGGTCGAGAAGGAGCTCGCCTACTCGCCGCCGCTGCACCGGGAGTGGCGCGGCGAGGGCGTCATCTCCCACGGCCGGATGCTCTGGTGGGTGGACCTCTCCTACGGCCTCCTCTCCTGCGACCCCTTCGCCGACACGCCGGAGCTGCTCCACGTCCCGCTCCCGTCAGTCGGCGACCAGCTGCCGGTGCTTTCTGCAAACGGCGGCGCTCACCGCTGCGTGAGGGTGAGCGGCGGGATGCTGAGGTTCGTGCAGATCCATGGCAGCCCCGACGCGCCGGTGGTGAGCACGTGGGCGCTCGTCTAGTCGTCGGGGAAATGGAATCCCGAGCGCCACGTGGCCTTGGCCGACGTCTGGGCCGACGAGAGCTACCTGGACATCATGTTGCCGGGGAGCGTCCCTGCGCTTGCGCTGCTCCACCCGGAAGACCCTAACAAGCTCTTCTTCTTCCTCGGCTCCTGCATCTTTGCCGTGGACCTGCGGCAGAGGAAGGTTGTGGAATGCAGTAACTTTGCAATGCCCGACTCGCCAAACGAGTTGCTCATGCGCTCATCCCACTTCATCCATGTATGGCAGTACGATCCCTCAAGCAGTCGTAAGCATCTTTCTCTTACAGCTCCTTGTTACCTTGTTGCTGATTTGATTCCCCTTGTGCCAACACCAGAGTTCACATCCTGCATAGTCACGATCTTGACTTTAAAATTAAAGATGGAAAATTCTAGACTTGCGCACAGACGCAGTCACAATCTTGATAAAGGGCGAATGTTTTTAGTTTGAAGATGCACACCTTATACAAGCCAATTTAGTACAGTAAATATGTATTTACATATCTACTATTGCACGATGCTACATACCTTGCCTGTCAAATCAAATTGCCAATATCTTCGTGCCTGATGTCTCTAATTCCGATAGACTGTGACGTCCACCGCCTCCACATCACAAGCTCCTTACACCTTCCTACCAGCATTGACATTGAAAATACTTTGCTCAGCCCTCCTACAAAAATTCAGATCGCATGAAACTGAAACCTAACCAAAGTTCACATGTTGCACAGCCACAAACTGAAACCTAACCACAGTTCATATCACAAAGAGTTAATTTGAAGATGCTGAACAGCTGAAACAAGCCAATTTCCAGATATATATGCACTATTATCATAGCTTTTGCAATGCTATCTTTTCAGAACTTCAGTTAGTACATATATATGTTCCTGCCTGCTATTTTTTACCTGGATATATTAGTGAGGTCCCCTCTGCCTTCACAAGTCCTTTTGGCCTGGTTACCAAGAATAACATTGATAAGCACATTCAAAACTGATACTGATGGCATGTTTGGATCATAGTCTCCCGGGCACTGCCTAGCCAGGTAGTTGAACCTAGCGCCAGGTGTCCCAAGTCGGATATGTGGTGGCAACATCACCACCCAAACACGGCCTGAGTGCCTGAACCTGATGGCTTCCCATGGTTTTCTGATAATTTTTGGTAGAGGGCACATGACTTTCAGTCTACTGATGTAAATGTGTTAACTGTATATTTTATGGACATACAAACATTGGGACAATGTGTGCATGCACCAAACCTGTTCCCTTAACCTCATTCTTGCACTTTTCCTGTATTTTTCTATTTTGTATTGTTGCAGTTAATAGAACTATGTTAAAGCATCTTTTGTGGTTGCTGGAATTACTTTAGCTCTCTTGGGGAATTATTGATGTTTCTGTACTCCTTGGCATATATTTACTCTCCTTTGTAGGGACGGAGTCTCTACTGAGATGCCTGAGGCAGGAGAAGGAGAGCAGGTGATCCCATTCTTGTGCATACGCATAATAGTTTCGGTTTTTTTCTTCTTCGAAGGCCTAACTTTATTTTTTTTGGTTCAGTTTGGCTGCGATCATGCCCGTCTCGTGCAAAACTGGTACATACCATACGATCCATGCCGCAACACTATCCACCCGTTTTCCCCTTAGCTTAGCCTGAGAACTTATTTTCTCTTGTTTTTTTCAGCTAAAATACTGAAGAGATTTCGGTATGATTCAATCAGGGAGCAACAGTTCCTTATAACGATGCCACCCCCTCTACAAGTAGACGTGGGCATGGGCAAGCTACATGATGGCCCCACATGTTGTATCTCATGTACAGTTTTTTTTTTTTAAAATAAAAGAGATCTAAAGTTGGATACAAATGTTATTGTACCTACTAGTATGATAGTGTCTATACAAATAAAATATGAGATTCCTGGGCCCATGACGGCATGACCTGAGCTGAGATGAACTAAAAAAGGAAGCATCACTTGACAGTCATGTGGGCCGCCATCTACAGCCAACTCGTATGAACTGGTGGATGCCGGCCCACATTCAGCGAAATGAAAACAGCAACCGAAGTAAAAACAATCAGAAAAGCTCTATCATCTGCCATGCTACCACGGCAACGAAACAGAACTGAACAGGATAGAAAGGAAGGTTGCACAGGCTCCATTCGCTATATATGCTCTGCCTACTAGTAGTATTTACAGAATGTATAATGTACAAGTACAACCACAGCAAAATATGTTGAGAGCTTCCGAACGCTAGTACTAAAACGAGTGAATGCAACTGAGCAGAACTGAGGGCACTATTCTGCAGCAAGGAACTGACGTAACCCTGCTCTTCCCAAGCAGTGACTTTTGACACTGGCCTTCCCTGTCCAAAGTAGTACTTTGTTGGCCAAAATTGTCAACATCAATTATCAAGAAAGCTGCTAATATCCATATAAATGGAGTTCTTTTGGAGTAATTACTTTTTGGGTTTCTAGCTGATTAGCATACTGCATCTGCATCTGCATACTATAACTGATTTACTTTTTTTTTTTTTTTGATGAGAGCATACTATAACTGATGAACTAAATCAAATGTACCTCTCAGTCTGTCAGACTGCCAGGATACACCCGGAACCAGTTTTACCTGCTGAAGGCTGCTTGTCGCACACCATGGGTAACTAGGATCGTCAGATTCAAATTTCATTAGTCACACCCAGGTCAAGAACAACTCACAAGCAGAGTGCGGAACAACCAGAATGGAAGAGACAAACACAAGCATAACACTCAAAAAGCACTGAATGTTGCCTAGTCCAAAAGGCGAACGGATAAAAGACAGCTAGATTGTACAAATTCTCATCCAGATCTCTTTATTGAACTATCATTTCAAGACAAGAATATGCTCTGTATAGGTATGTACAGAAGAATATCAATGTACAGCCAAGGACAACTGTCAGGGAGCTTCAGACCTATCCCAAGCTCATGCATTGAATTGCATTACACTGCATGCTACCACGCATTACCTGCTACACTGTTCCGCAACCAGGCAGTGACTTAAGATCCTTGCCTTCCTATCCAGTAAAATTTGTTGACCAAGAGAAGAAAGTATCAGTATCAAAATCTCTACTATCTACAGCAGATGGAATTCTTTAGTTTCCTAACTACTAATGAACCTATCAGTAACTGAATAGGTATCTGTTTTGGACAACATGTGGAACCAGCTTTGACCACAGGCCCACACAGCCTGCTGAAGGATGCTCAGCACACACTATGGCTCAGAATCAGATTTTCTACCATGTGAATGTGGTCTCCGTCGATAAAAAAATGGGAGAATCCAATTCAAGCTTCTGCATTTGCTCTTCCATCATAACAGAATCAGGACAATCAGCAACCTCTTGGTGAAGATTGCATTTCCGAACCTAGTTGTAACCTCATGTGTCCTCCTAAAGCACGCCCTGACCCTAGTAACTTTCCACAGACCTTGCACTGGTGTTTCTTGACATTCACTGCAGCTGAAATGTCACTTGATTCCAACTCCACCGAAAATGCAGCCCCCTGGCGTCATGAACTCAACATCTGTGTTAACCTCATTATCAAATGCATTAAAAAAAAACCTCCTTTGGAACATCAGCAACCAAACTCAACTTGTTTTTCTTCTCAAAGTGTAAGTGTAATGTCATGTGGCCTTCCAATGCCTGCCCTGACCTCAATAACTTTCCACAGACCTTGCACTGGTGCCTCTTGCTGTTCATTGCAGCTGAAAGGTCACTGGACTTCAACTCCTCAACTGAAATGTCAGCCCCTGGCTTCATGAACTCAGCATCTACATCCATCCCATGATCAAACACATTCAGCAGCACTTCCTTCTGGGGAGCATCAGCAACCAAATTCAAACTGGACTTCAAATCCTCGACTGAAATGTCAGCCCCTGGCTTCATGAACTCAGCTTCTACATCCATCTCATAATCAAACAGATCCAGCAACACTTCCTTCTTGGGAGCATCAGCGACCAAATTCAAACTGTTTTCCTTCTCACAGTGTTCATAGAAACCCTCATAAGCTGGATTCTTGTCAGATTTCAGCCTCGCACTGTTTGTGAACTCATCAGATTGATCCAGCTGCTGAAAAGCATTCAGATTTACCTCCTTCAACACCATGGGTGTTGAAATGTTGTCATCCTTATCTCCCCCACAGCAATCCTCATAAGCAGAAGTCTTGTCAGAATGCTCTGCAAGCATCAAGAGAGCAGCTGCAGCATTCATCTCTGAATTGAGGACTGGCATCCCCCTCTTTGATCGCTTACGCTTCACTGGAGAAAATAGCATCACATTGTGCCCGTGATCACCATTAGCATTGGCCCAAGCTTCCATCAACCCAGCTGGTTCAGGTTCTTCATCAGGCTTGGCCATCACCTTCTTCTCACTGTGCATCCCCATGTTCCCCCTAGGAGATTGGCAGGAAGAGAACACCTTTGAGCAGTGCAGGCATTGAGATTCCAAAGATGACGGTGAAGGCTTCTCATCACTGGGACCCAGCAGCAACACAGGCAGATCGACGACAATGGCAGGAGGGCTAGGTGTGCCCTTTGGCTGCTTGCCAGCATGCCGGTGGCACGACATGTGGCCTCCAAGAGCTTTCCCTGAAAGGAATTTCTTGCTGCATACTTTACAGCAGTGCTTGTGAGGCCTTCTGGATGGCATATCTGAATCAATGCATAGCAGAAATAAGTAGGAAACAGAACATTAAGATAATAACATAAGCACACTAGTCACTAGTGCTTGCTTCTTTGAAGCATTTGCAAACACAGCTAGCATTGATCAGATACTATAGTAAATAGAAAGACAAGATCACTTGACATAGAGCTACTCGATGAATCATGCAATGTAGCACTAAGAAATTTAAAGATGAACCAGAACACTTTCCTAATTATTGCTTTTTTGGATCATTTGTGCAAGCACTGAGTCAGAAGTGTTCAAGGAAGACAAAAACGTCCATAAGTAACTACTTGCAACAATCTGTGAAATGGCCATGGGCATTGTGAAATCAGAATTTATTGCAAGGTATCAGGGACTAAGAACACAGCGAGACGCTAGTAGCTAGACTAGAAAAAGTAATCATGTAACAGACTTGCCAACAGTTTCTGAATCATCTATGCAAGTTCAGAGATGGGCAGGGCAGAGGGCAGACCCAGTGCCGGAGGCTCCCACATGAGTGGCGTCTGGGGAAGGGATAAACCGAGACAAGCCTTTCCCCCGCAAAATCTGCGGAGGGGCTACTTCGAACCCACGACTTGGTGACTCAGTGAGACAGCTCTCACCAATGCACCAGGCCTGCCCTTCTCAAGTTCCGAGATGAATTGAAGATATCAGGGACCAAGAAGGCAAGAACATAATTTGATGCTATAGAATCAATTAATTGCCTGCTGCTGCTTTTAAGCATTTCCACAAACACACAGTCATTTGATCATATATTAAGGGAAAGGCAATGGCTTGCTTTAATAATTGCATTGACCTGCGAACTCAGAATCAGATTAATGAGAAGAGAAAGCTAAACGAATGTCCACAATCAGGATGCAGAGTGCAGTCAGGGCTTGACACTGAAACATATAACAACAAAAAAGATTAATGCCTAAGCAGAACAAATAATACCAAGAAGACTCATCGCCACCCCCAGAGATACCACTGAATCAAATCCTTTTTTTTTCTCGAACGTGCCATTGGCACGGTATTCCACTGAATCAAATCCTGCACGAAATCTCTGAATTTTTATCAATGTCAACTCCTACCAAGAACCACAAAAACAAATCACCAATTCACGCAGAGCCACATGATGAATCATTACAATGTAGTAGTCACTTCAGAAAGACAGTGAGTATGCAACTAAGTTTACAGCAACTTGTGAAGTGTTCACGAAGATTGCTTATCAGAATTCATTCCAAGGTACAGCAAGGAATCATCAGAGAGTAAAACCATAGTGCGATGCTAGTTGCTAGACGCGAATCAACCAAAAACTAACCACAGACTTAGTCTATCTAATGCAGTTTTGCGAATTGAGGGCGGTTCGGGTCTGCATTCTGTACCTGGAATCGTTCGAGTCCTTTGTTCGTGTCCCCAAGGGCAGAGGTTTCCAAACAAGCCAGACGCGCGTCGCGCGCAGGTTGCGCAGCGAATGCCGATGGCTTGATCGCTGAAACAAGGTCGCAAGAAACGGAATTAGCAGTCGAAGCAGAACCACGGAATCCACGAACGCTCGCCTCACCACCAAAATTCCAAACCCACAGAGACAATTCGATCGGGTTCCGCACGAACCAGAGAAATTTCCCAGCAACGCCTCCGAAAACCTCGGAACGGAACAGCAGAATCAAGGCAAAGAATCCCCCGAAAATTGTGTGGAGAAGAAGAACGCACCTCGAACCCCCGCACAATGTAGCTCCGCGGCGAAATCCTGCGGCTTCTTCGAGCTCCGCGAGGGCCCCCTGAGTGCCGCCCCGCCCGCCTCGCAGTCCTGCCCCTCACCCTCGCCGCTGCTGCTACTTCTTGGGGAGGGGGGTGTACTGTATGTGGGGGCTGCCCCACGCTGGCGGAGGCCTAGTTATAGTAGGCGGCGGCGGGCTAGGAATGTAGACTGCAATCATCACCAGGTTCATGCGTTCGGAGCGGGGAGCCAGGGAGGGAGAGGTGGCCGGCTCGCTCTGGCCGCGGCGGTGCGGGACTGCAGCCTGCGGTGGTTTGCGAGGGCAGAGCGGGCAGCGAAATTTCCGAGCACCGAGCGGTGGTCGGTGGTTTGTGGGAGCCTCCTGCGGCTGGGATAGAGCCACGTCTCCCCATCGTAGCACTGCAACTGCTGGTAGTGTTTTGTTTTGTTTTCACCAGCCACGTGGCAGTATTTCAAAGTTTTGTGCATTTCGAGTGGCTATTTAGACTTAGATTTAAGGTCGGTATTTTGTTTTTCTGTTTTCTGTATTTTTCATTGGAAGTGACCTGATTTTAGTAGAATTCTACCATTCCAAGGCCCTAACTGTACAAAACAACGATATACTCCGTATCTCCTACAACTAAAAAGAACAAAGTGTGGATATTTTTTGGTGTGACATTTGTTTTGGTTCGTCCGTCTGCCCACGCATGCGATCCCCGCCTGCTTTGAAGAAAACAAATCGATTACCTGAGGCCACATGCATGGAAGGAAACAATAATCATGCACTGCGCGATAGAAAAAGAAATTGTCATCCCTGCGATCCTCGCCTGCTTTGAAGGAAACAAATCGATCACCTGAGACCACATGTATGGAAGGAAACAATAATCATGCATGGAAGGAAACAATCATGCGGTGCCCCTCTCTCGCTCGGTCAGATATCTTTCATCTCCACGTAAACCGGATCATATTGTATTGTCCATAATTTGAAGGGTATTAAATATAGGCTGGGTGCATAGTAGGCCACCTAGCTTTATTCTTGTAACTTCTACCTCTTTATATGTTAGTCTTTGCCAATGGTATAATTTGTTCACAAAGCTCAAGCAAGACAATTGACAAAGATCAAGCAAGACGACTCAATGAGGTTGGCCCTTAATTTTAGTGTTTCCAGCATGCAGACCTGAAATTAAAAAATGGCTGCTCCTTGAGAACATCAGTGGTGCCAAATAAAAGATGTGCAGGTTATACATGGTGAGACTGATGAACCTTCTGCAATTTCCTAAACGAATATTTCCACCATTAGTATATATTAGTATATAGATCCATTTCCCTGCGTTTCTTCGTGCTCCCATTAGCATATAATATGAAAGTATTGTTGTGTTCATCACAACTTCCAGTTGACTACTTCCATTAGCATATACTTCATCTACCCTAAAATATAAGTCGTTATGGAATGCGTGCAAGTCAAACTTTCTCAACTTTAACTAGGTTTGTAAAAAATACGTGCAACATTTATATCTCCAAATAAGTTTATTATAAAAATATATTCAATGGTCTATGTAATGATACTAATTATGTATTATAAATATTAATATTCTTTTATATATAATTGGTCGAAGTTAAAAAAAGTTGACTTCTCGGGAAACGAAAATAAATTCTATTTTAAGACAGAGGGAGTATATGAAAGCAGTGTTGAAAATATTTTAACAATCAAGTTCGTCTATGTCTGATTGGTAAGCTTAGACATCATAATAGCATCAAAAATTTCGACTCTTATGGACACCCTCATAGATCAGTGCAAAGCATCCTAATCCTACAACATACACAAATGGCAACCTTAAAGTTATGATATTTTCAAAGGGTGGACAATAAAGACCATCTTAGACGTTCTGGCATTAGAGTATATACGTGCAGGCATATAGACATGGTGGTGCAAGTGAGCAGCCAACAGGAGTCGATAGTTAGGGGGTGTTTGGATCCCAGGACTAAACTTTAGTCCCTGTCACATTGAATTTTTAGATATCAATTAGGAGGACTAAAATGAGCTAATTATAAAACTAATTATATAACTTGTGGCTAATTCGCTTGCCAGCGCCGTGTACAGGATGGTATGGAGATGTGGTGAAACTTATTCGTGGATTTATTGGCGCACGAAAGAAATGGATATCGGAAATCTCTTCCTGCCGGTATAAAAATGATCTTAGCCGCATCACGAAAAGATCTACACAGTAGAGTTTGTGAGCCTTCAACGCCACGCTCTCTGTAACTATGTAAATTTCACAAACTTAGCTTTTTGGATTAAATGTCACTTTAACGTCGGTCATATACTTTTAAAGTATTGTTATATTATCGTGCGATCCGTGTGTTTTTAGTACAAAAGTTTAGCTGTCCCGTAGCAACGCACGGACACGAACCTATTTGCATATATACTCAAACTTGTGTGTACATGATTATATAGAGATGCAACGAAACTTATTCATAGATTTATTGGCGCACGAAAGAAATGGATATCGTAGAATTCTTTTTACCGATATAAAATATTATCTTAGCCGTATCACGAAAAAGTCTATACAGTAGAGTTTGTGAGCCTACGACGTCACGCTCTCCGTGACTGTGTTAATTTCACGAACTTTGATTTTTGAATTAAATATCACTTTGACGTCGGTATTTAATTTAACAATATTGTTATCTTATCGTGCGATCCGTGTGTTTTTAGTACAAAAGATTTAGTTGTCCCGTAGCAACGCACGAACACGCTACCTAGTATTCTTAGAAGCTTACCTCTAAATGAGTAGACGAATAGCTTATGGCAAGATATTTGGTCCAGGACGCGAGGCATATATGCAAAATGAGAGCGTGATTGGTTGGTTGCCAAAACTAATGCAAGCCAAAATTTTAGCAACCATTTAGTTTGGTACCAAAATTTACCAATACCTCACAATTAGCGTGCCAAATCCATGGCAAATATTTTAGTCCAAGTTTTGGCCTTTTTTCTTGCCAAATCTTAGGCATGACAAATTTTGGTAGCCAACCAATCAGGCCCTAGATCCTCGAGATACTCCCTTTGTCCGTAAAAGAATACAATTATGGGAAACGTGCCGATCAAACTAGTACAAGTCTGATCAAGTTTATAGTAAATAGTATTAATATTTATGTCTTTAAATAAATTTATTATAAAAATATATTCTATAACTAACCTAATGATACTTATTTTGTATCTTAAATGTTAGTATTTTTTATATAAATTCAGTCAAAATTTAAATGGCTTGACTTCCCGAAAAACGAGAATTACATTCTTTTGTGGATGGAGGGAATACTAATACTTATTTTAGAGTTGGATGTATTGCAGAGTAGAAACATACAGATGGTAACGGGTGCAAATGGTTTTGGCACATATCAGTGAGTAAAAACAGATGCAGTATCTTCTTATTTCGAGGATTGCGATGCATTAGAGAGGTTAATGGAAACATACATGCAAGGTGTTGTTACACGACCCCACAGAAACTAAAGTTAAATTACCGATGATGCTTATGATGCTAATGAAAATGCTCTAGTCACAACCAGGTTGTTACACTACCCCACCAGAGAGGCAAAAGAATCACTCGTGGAAAACGAGGTGTTGACC